AGAAATTCAGAAATTCAGAAATTCAGAAATTCAGAAATTCAGAAATTCAGAAATACAGAAATTCAGAAATTCAGAAATTCAGAAATTCAGAAATTCAGAAATTCAGAAATTCAGAAATTCAGAAATTCAGAAATTCAGAAATTCAGAAATTCAGAAATTCAGAAATTCAGAAATTCAGAAATTCAGAAATTCAGAAATTCAGAAATTCAGAAATTCAAGAATTCCGAAATTCAGAAATTCAGAAATTCAGAAATTCAGAAATTCAGAAATTCAGAAATTCAGAAATTCAGAAATTCAGAAATTCAGAAATTCAGAAATTCAGAAATTCAGAAATTTGGAAATTCAAGAATTCCGAAATTCAGAAATTCAGAAATTCAGAAATTCAGAAATTCAGAAATTCAGAAATTCAGAAATTCAGAAATTTGGAAATTCAAGAATTCCGAAATTCAGAAATTCAGAAATTCAGAAATTCAGAAATTCAGAAATTCAGAAATTCAGAAATTCAGAAATTCAGAAATTCAGAAATTCAGAAATACAGAAATTCAGAAATTCAGAAATTCAGAAATTCAGAAATTCAGAAATTCAGAAATTCAGAAATTCAGAAATTCAGAAATTCAGAAATTCAGAAATTCAGAAATTCAGAAATTTGGAAATTCAAGAATTCCGAAATTCAGAAATTCAGAAATTCAGAAATTCAGAAATTCAGAAATTCAGAAATTCCAAAAAATATTCAGAAATTCAGAAATTCATAAATTCCAAAAAATATTCAGAAATTCAGAAATTCAGAAATCGATGTTTGGAAATTCGAAAAAATTCTAAAAATCGAATTTTTTTATTTTCAAATCTAGACAAACTTCAAAAAATTTTGAGTTTTCGGAAAATTCGGATATTTCAAAAAAATGTGGAATTATTTTTCATTATCTTCCAAATTCCGAAATTCAGAAATTCAGAAATTCAGAAATTCAGAAATACAGAAATACAGAAATTCAGAAATTCAGAAATTCAGAAATTCAGAAATTCAGAAATTCAGAAATTCAGAAATTCAGAAATTTGGAAATTCAAGAATTCCGAAATTCAGAAATTCAGAAATTCAGAAATTCAGAAATTCAGAAATTCAGAAATTCAGAAATTCAGAAATTCAGAAATTCAGAAATTCAGAAATACAGAAATTCAGAAATTCAGAAATTCAGAAATTCAGAAATTCAGAAATTCATAAATACAGAAATTCAGAAATTCAGAAATTCAGAAATTCAGAAATTCAGAAATTCAGAAATTCAGAAATTCAGAAATTCAGAAATTCAGAAATTCAGAAATTCAGAAATTCAGAAATTCAGAAATTTGGAAATTCAAGAATTCCGAAATTCAGAAATTCAGAAATTCAGAAATTCAGAAATTCAGAAATTCAGAAATTCCAAAAAATATTCAGAAATTCAGAAATTCAGAAATTCCAAAAAATATTCAGAAATTCAGAAATTCAGAAATCGATGTTTGGAAATTCGAAAAAATTCTAAAAATCGAATTTTTTTATTTTCAAATCTAGACAAACTTCAAAAAATTTTGAGTTTTCGGAAAATTCGGATATTTCAAAAAAATGTGGAATTATTTTTCATTATCTTCCAAACGAATCCTAAATCCTCAAAACTAAAAGACCAATCTTAATTTTCAAAAAGCGACCTTATCCGAATTTTCCAAAAGACAAAAAAACTATGAATCAATTATTACAAAACTAGTACAAATACTAACAAACAAGACAAAAAAGAGACATTTGTGATGAATTGGAATAAATAAGAATGAATGAACGAATGATGATAGCAGAAGAAGAAGCAAATTGGTGTGTGTATTCTTTTCTGAATTCTTAGAGATAGTGAGAAAGCCTCGAGAAGACGTATAGAGAAAGATAGAGAAAGAGAAAGAGAGAGAGAGAGAGAGAGAGAGAGAGAGAGAGAGAGAGAGAAGTACAAAACCGGATTGATATAGCGGTTGAGAAGAATCAATCACACATCGCTGTCTTATAAATTTCCACCTTTGACATCTTCACCTTTTACAAGAAATACATTGTGTCATAAAACAATGTGTCTGTTTTTGATGATTTATGCCTTCATTTAAAGGCGCATGGTGAGGCAATTTTTGAAGGATTACTGTCCGGATTAGTGGGACGGCAATTATTATTTGTATCCCGTTGGTGACCCCAATTATCTAGATTGCTGGCAGAAATAATGAAAAATTGTGAACTGATAGAATTTGTAAAATGAAAACTTTAACATGTTATTAGTTGACAACTTTTTGATATAATTAGCGTCAAACTGGCTGAACTAGTGAATTTATGGTTATTCTCACTTTGACTCTAATTTTCTCGGTTCCTGTAATAGATATCAAAAAGTTGTAAATTAAGAAAATGTGTAAAAAATTTTAAACATTTTATCAGTTAAAAACTTTTTGATATCTTTTAGAGGAGCCGAGATAATTAAGCTGAAAGCCATCGGTTGACAAGGTGCGACTGCTTGACCTGTACCTTCTCCATATATCTCCATTCCTGTGAAAGATATCAAAACGTTGTTAACGAATAAAATGTGTAAAATTTAATGGTAAAACTTTTTATCAGTAAACCACTTTTTGATATCTCTGATGAAGAATGAGATAATTAGTTTTAAAAAGCTATGACCATGTAGCTCAACCGATATCAGGTTCAATTTCATTAGAGAATCAATTTTCTATTTTTCCGGGTTTGAAAAGTATTTGAAACCCTAACATTTCAACTACATTTTTAGCGCTAAAAAGCACAAAATGTTTTGGAATTTTTGGCAAAATTCGGAAAAGTAAAATTTGCTGAACAAATAAAAAACAAACGCACTTGTTGAAATCAAAAGAGCTAGACTATTTTTTCTTGAAAGAAGAGGAGATCAGGTTTCCTATAGGTCAAAAATGACATCAGATCGTTTGAATTAGTTAGTCATATGGCAGAAATTTTTTTCAGATTTTTGAATTTTTGAAAAAAAAATTGAAATGTCAAATTCTGAAATTGAGAAATCGAGGATTTCTTGTTTTTTTCAAAATCAAACTTCAAACTTTAATAGAAAGCCACCCGGACCGTTTACTTTGAGCTTATATATCTCTTTTTTTTTTTTGAAAGATATCAAAAAGTAGTCAAGTGATAAAATGTTTATCACTTTATCAGCAATATTTTATTAGTTAATCACTTTTTGATACCCCTCACAGAAAATGAGATACATGGGCTCAAATTTGACGATTCGGGCTGGCGTTCTATTAGAGTGTTTACGGTAGTTGTTTTTGTTTTGTTGAGGGCTGAAAAAACCGATTTTTTTGGCTAGAAAAATCGAAAACAATTAAGCAAAAAGTATCAATTTTTTATGTAAAATACAAGTTTTTATAATCGAAAAACATTATGTCAAATTCGGTTAACTTTGATTGGGTTAGATGGACGAAAAAAAAAGTGATCTGATTGATTTTTATTTAGAAAGAAATTTCGAAAATATTGGAAAAGGGATTTTCCAGAAAATAGTTGAATTTTTGAATTTTTAAATTTTAAAATAATTATAAGATTATCGATTTCTCTCGATTTTTCTGAAAAAATTTGCTGTTTTTTAAAGTTTTGAAACTTCCAAATACCGTAAAACCTAACAACGTTGAGCTCAATTATCTCGATTACTGTAAAAGATTTCAAATATGTGTCATCTGATGAAATATTTGTGATGTTGTAATCAACAATTTATCAGTTGACAAATTGTTTATATCTTCCGAATGAACCTATATAAATTGACTCAAAGTTGAAAGCTTTGGGCCCTTCTATTACAGATTTTGCGGTTTTAATTGTTGAGTTCCCAAACTTCCATAACTGAAAAATTTCCGATTTTCAGTAACACAAAATTTTTCGAATCTCTGAATTTCTGAATTTCAAAAAATTTCAAAATCCTAAAATGTGTCCAAAAAACTTTCTAATGTCCAAAAAAAAGGGATACACACACCTTCAAACATATGTCCAAATATTGACATTGAAGAAGATGAAAAAGAAGAGTTTCTTAGAATTATAAAAGATAGAGAGAGAGAGAGAGAGAGAGAGAGAGAGAGAGAGAGAGATAGAGAGAGAGAGAGAGAGAGAGAGAGAGAGAGAGAGAGAGAGAAAATGAGCGGTCACCTGTTTAAAGGGACAGGAAGGATGGGAGAAGGAAAAACGGGACGGATTACATGCGACTGTGTAGCTAGCGGTTTTACGGAAGAGACGAAAAGCCGAAGAATAAGCGGAAAATGATGAAACGAAATTTTTTTGAAAGAAAAGGTTGAAATTCAGAAATTCAAAAAATTCTGAATTTTCAAAAAAATCGGATTACCACCAAAAAATCAAAAAATCTAAACTAGAGATTCTGAGAATATAATTTTTCCGAGATGTCGAAATTCCAAATTTCAAATTTTGGGAAAAAAGTTTGGGACTTTAAAAAAAAAACTTTGAATTTTCGAAGTTTTCGAAATCTTGTAAAGATTCTGAAACTTTTTTGGAATCTGAAAACTCCAAAATCCAAAATTCACCAAAACTAAAATCAAAAATCGAAAAAAAGAGAAAATCGGGAAGAGAAAAGATAGGAGAAAATGGAATGGTAATGAGGTGATGAAGGTCATCTTTTTGAATAAATTCTCCAAAAGAAATCGGTTTTCCACGTCTTCAGGGTTCATCTGAACCAGATGACCCATTCATCAGAAGACGTCAGTCAAAATGAACGTTTTCTGTTTTTTTTTTGGGTTTTGGTAATTTATTAGAAATGCAAAGAAAAAGTGAACGTTTAGAAAAATATATAGATATAAACAACTCATCAAATTTCTTATTCATGGGGAAAATTTTTTTTTGGGTAGCTCCGCCCACTGCAAATCTGCGGCGCGCTTATTTTAGATTTTTGAACATTTTGAATTTTTCATTTTTAAGGGGTCCAAAAGTCTGAAAAGTAATATTTTTTGGATTAACTAAATTCAAATAAACTAAAAAGCGTGCCGCAGTGTTGCAGATTTCTTCTTGTGGGCGGAGCTTAGAAAAATCACAAAAATGAATGGAACAAAAACTGAAGATCAGTCTAGCAAATCAAGAAAATTTTTACACGAACTTTCTTTTCTTTTTTTTTTGGGTCATATGATTCTGACAAGAACACTAATTGGGTAATTGGCAAGAAGAGAATGACTCATTTTTCGAGAAATGAGAGAGAGAGAGAGAGAGAGAGAGAGAGAGAACACAAAATGTAACAAGGAAGTGATATAGGGCTACTGTACTTGATAAGTACTACTGTACTTTGTCCAGTGGCAATGTTGAAAACATTATAACTTGCCCCTGCGAAGTTCAGCGGGCGGAGATGTGGCGCTTACACTTAAAGCTTAATTATCTCAATTAATATAAGAGATGTTATAAAATTTCCTACATATTATCAGTTGGTTACTTTTTGATATCTTCTAGAGGATCCGTGATAATTGAGCTCAAAACCGTCGGTCGGCATGGTGCGTCTGCGTAGCTCAACATGTTCCTTTTTTAAGCTCAATTATCTCGACTACTATAAAAGATATCAAAAAATGGTCTACTAATAAAATGTTTGTTTTACCATTTCCTATATTTTGTTAGTTAATAACATTTATATATCTCTTACAGTAATCGGGATAATTGAGCTTAAAGTGCCGCAAGCCGACTCAGCCACGCGTTGCGGAAATCATCGTAAATTTGTTCAAACTCAATATTTTTAACGGAACAACAATTAAAATGTAGAACTCAAAAAGTTCTTTAAAAAGATGTATAATTCAACAAGTTTAAAAAGTCAGTATGTTGCAAAAACTTGCCTAACCACAACGGAACTCATTGCGTCGGCTAGGCTTAACCTGTTGAGTGGCTTCAATACAAAAGGTATTGAATTGTATATCATTTTGTAGAACTCATCAAGTCCTACAATTTACAATTTTTAAAACTTAAAAAATGTCTAGTTTGAAGAGAGTTAGCAAACAAAAACCTTCCTTAGCTTCCTGGCTTTCCCAGATCCCCTCAAACTGCTCCTTTCTGGATAAAATAAAAAGTGAAAGATAGGATTTTTAAACTCTACAATTTAAACTAAAAATCACAAAGATTTTAAGTAGGTGTCCCTTTAAAAATTTCCCCCAATCAAAAAAAACTCTTCCACACAAACCTTGGAATGAGGTGTGTCATCGTAGACTTCCACAATGATCGGAATTGTTGTTGTTTCTTCTCGTCGTCTCCACCACGCCGAACCACTCTCTCCACTTTTTCATCTCTTCGTTTCAATTCATCAGAAGACGGAAATTGAGAAGACGTCGGAAGAGGAGGAGGAGGTTGAAGAATAGCCTTCTTGTTGTTGTTGTCTCCAGTACTGCCCTTTTGGTGTACTGGTCTTGGGTTTCCTGGAGAAAATCAACTTCAAGAGTAACAGAGAACAAAATCAAAAAAGAAAAAAAGCATCTTCCGTTGCGGGGAATCGAACCCCGGCCTTATGGGTGAGAGCCATAAATCCTAACCACTAGACCACAACGGAGCGGTGAGAGAGCAGTGGTGGAGGGCGTAGATATTTCTACGGGCGAGTAGAGTTGGGAGGAGAGACACAGAGAGAAAGTCGGGTATTTTACCTGTGCATTATTTCCATTGTCTCCTTCGTAAACTTCCACAACTTCTGTATTTTTCGAATAACACGAGCATAGAAGTTTGTGAAGAGCTCCGTGAGCAGATGGCATTACTCCGTCAGAGGCGATGCTGAAAAAAATTGGCGGTTTTTGGGGGAGGGGGGGGGGGAAGGGGTTTAAATGATTTTGACTAATTTTTAAAAAATCGAAAAATTCTGAGAATCGATTTTCAGACTGCAAATAAAAAAAGATAGAGAAAAAAGACCCAAAAAACAAAATCACCTCATCTAATTGTTCTTCCATCTTAATCATCATAAACGCAACGATCTTTTTGGGTGTGGTATATGTGATTTATGATGTTTTAAACAAACGAATTTTATGTGTATAGACAGAAATGACAAAAAATGCCAATTTTTTTAGAGCTTTGCTTAAATTTCACCTGAAAATCTAAGCTACCATTCCCACTGAACCCACTGAACCCTAAACCAAAACTTCAACTTTAAGCTCAATTATCTCGATTTTTATATATTAGGTTGGCGGGAAAGTCTTTGTCACTTTTTCAATAGTTTATTTCTCAAAGAAAAAATAACCGAATAATTAATTATATTGTCCATCATTATCAACAACATGTCTCCAACGTTCCCTCAATTTATGGATTCCATTGCGTAGAATCCAGCCGGGCGTGAGGCAAAGTATTGTTTGAGTGCCGCTTCGACCGCTCCACGGGAATTGAAGCTTCTTCCTTCGAAGGCACGTGTCATATCGCCAAATAACCAATAGTCGGAAGGAGCAAGATCAGGAGAATACGGGGGGTGAGGGAGAACATTCCATCCATATCCCATCAGCTCCTGCTTCACTTGTTTCGAAACATGTGGGCGAGCGTTATCATGTTGCTAGTACACTTTCTTGTCTTTCAGGGCCGAACGGTCGACTGCTTTCTTGAGGTTTCGTAGTTGAGTAGTGTAGAGGTCTCCAGTTATTGTTTTGCCCTCGGGCAGAAGTTCCCAGTAGATGGGGCCGTCCACTCCCCACCACACAGAGAGCATAACTTTTTTCGGATGAAGGTCGGGTTTTGGGACATCCTGTGGGCTCTCTCCTTCTCCAACCCGCTGGGATTTCCTGTGGTGATTATCGTAGAAGACCCACTTCTCATCTCCGGTTATTAGCCGGTCCAGCCATCGATCGCCCGCGTGGAGAGTGAGAAGAGTAATCGAATCGTCGACTCGGCGGTCAAGGTTGGCTTGAGTCAGGTGATGAGGTATGAATCGACCAAAAAGTTTTCTCATTCCAAGAGACTTCAAACCTTCAAGGACTGTGCTATGGTGAACTCCGAATGTGACAGCTAGTTCACGGCTAGATTGAAATGGATCCGATTGCAATGCGTGCTTCAGCTTGTCCAAATCCAACTCACGGGGTCTCCCAGAGCGATCCTTTTCATCGAGCGAGAAGTCATCTTTTTCGAAACGATGGAACCAATTGCGAATAGTATTGTAGTGAGGGGCATGTGTGTTGTACACATTCTTCAAGAAAGTTTCCGAATCCTTCATCGTGGTGTGAGATAGGAAGAGGTAAATCAAAACATGTCTGATGTGAATAGCAGTGGGAACAAACATATCGTTTCAATTACAGATGAGGAGCAGGGAAGGAGATGGGGACTTGTTTATATGGAAGGTTCTTATCACCTTGTTATTCACTAGAGTCGATATCATACACAGCCTCCATATACGAGAACAGTGATTAAACAAACAGAGTGACAAAGACTTTCCCGCCAACCTAATAGGATATCAAAAAGCTGTTAACTGATAAATTGTTTATTATAAAATGTCCAACATTTTATTAGTTGATCACTTTTTGATAGCTTTCATAGGAACCAAGATAATTAAGCTTAAAGTGCAAGTACACAAATGTGACCGTATAGCAACCTATACTTTACGTTTGAGCTCAATTATCTCGGTTCATATAAAAGATATAAAAAACAGTACATTAATGAACTGTTAGACATTTTATGATATACATTTTATCAGTTGACCATTTTTTGAAAACTTTTATAATAATCGAGATAATCAAGCTTAAAGTGCAAGCATACAAATCCGACCTCGGAGCTCAACCTATACTTAAAATTTGAGCTCAATTATCTGAATTTCTATAAAAGATATCAAGAAACAGCTAACTTAATAAATGTTTAGAATAAAATTTCCTACATTTTATCAGTTGATCATTTTTTGATATCTTTTATAGCAACCGAGATAATTGAGCTTACTGCTATATGGTCGCAGTCGGCCAAAAATGCACACCGGATTTTAAATTTGTGTTTTGAATGATACATTGAGTTTGCTACAGTAAGAAAAATAAACATTTTCGTATTAAATCAATAAAGCAAGATGAAGAAGATGGTCATTTCGGAATCAGAAGACGAAGAAAAGGAAAACAAGGATTATGAAGATCGTGTTATCACATTTTTCCCGGATAGATATAGATGAAATTGACATGTGATAATAATGAGGATGATGTGAAGAAGAATAGACGGTTGTGGGATAACAAGAGATAGTATATGATCTTTCGGAGACGGAGAGAAGAAAAGATTTATATGTTTCCTAGCATTTTGGAATCTTCCGATGCTAGATTTTGAGATTTTTTCTAAAATTTTCAGATTCTCAGATTTTTTTTGGCAGTTGAAAAATCAGGACATTGGGATTTTATAGGACTTTCAAGTTACCATCGGTCGCCAAGTGCGACTCCGCATCTCAAACCTTTCATTTTAAGCGCAATTATCTCGGTTCTTTTTAAGAGATATCAAAATTTTGTCAACTGATAAAATATTTGTTATCATATCAATAACATTTTGATAATTGATCACTTTTGATATCTCTTACACAAATCGAGATAATTAAGGTCAAAGTGCAAGCATACAAATCCGACCTCGTAGCTCAAACTATACACTTACACTTTGAGCTTAATTACCTCGTTTCCTATCAAAGATATCCAAAAGTAGTCGACTGATAAAATTTTGGAAAATCTATAACAAATATTTTATCAGTTAACTACTTTTTGATACCTTTTATAGCAACCGAGATAATTGAGTTTAATTTCAGGTGCCGCTACTCCGCCGACTGAGCTATGCGGTTGCAGTTCCGGCCGTATTTTTGTCTCGCAAATGTGTCATTTTTGACGCGCTTGTAGTCATTTTAAAAGAAAGAAAAAATCAAAAGAAAAAAAAATAGGAAATGGAGGATTATGAAAAAAGAAGAAGGGGGTTTTAGAAAGAAATATTGATGGAAAACCCGGGGTTCGAAATTTGGCACCATAGAACAAAGGAAAAAATGAACAATGATGTTTTAAGAGAAGAATTCCGAAGAATTCGAAGAAAATAAAAAAACTGAAAATCTTGAAAAATCTGATAGAAATTCTGAAGGACTTGAAATTTCGAATTTTAGACAATTTCGGAATCTAGAAACCCTGAAAAATCTATGTCTTACAAGTTAGATTAATCATAAAAAATCTAAAAATACAAATTTTAAGAGCCAGAGCACCTGAGTGCTCCCCTGCTCCCTCAAAAATTTTAGAACCCGTTTGATAAGAGAAAGTGTGAGAAAATTCAAAAATTGAAGATTTCTTGTGTTTGTTTCAATGAAGAGAGATAAAAAAAAAACAATTAGTCACTGTCAAGGCAGAAACTAGAGATAAAGGAAAAGTGAGAGAATGTATGAGTAATATTATGAGAAGGGGGTCAATGATTGAGATTTTCGAAATTGGCGCCAATTTTTGGAAGTTCAACGAACTGAAAAACTAGTCAAATATACCATATTTAGTTATTGAAATCAATTGAACCCCCCCCCCCCCATCCCCCAATTGATTGGCCGCAGGCTGCAACCGTGCAGCTTAATCGCTGGAGTTGCGGCACTTTTACTTTGAGCTCAATTATCTCAATTCCTATAAGAGATATCAAAAAGTTGTCAACTGATACAATGTTCATTATATTATGATAAACAGTTTATCAATTGACCACTTTTTGATACCTTTTACAGAAATTGAGATAATCGAGCTCAAAGTTGATGTAGATGTTGAGCTTTGTTTTGAAAATTATAAAAATTTTAGTATTTTTTGCTCTCATCCAATTTCAAAATAGTGTCAGCATCCCAAAATTCCAAAAATCTAATAATCACAAAATTCAGAAAAGATATGAACTTACGAATCTAACTGATAAGCTAGTAAATATTTGAATGCATTCGACAGCTCCTTCGGTCCAATATTATCCGACATTTTTGAAGAAAAAAGTGGGCGGGGCTTAGGAGAAGGGGGCCAAGTGAGAAGATTCTGGAGCCAGAATAGTCTGAAGTGTGTACTTTTTGAATAGATTTTTAATTGTTTTATTTTTAAGGAATAATAGAGAAAAAGGAACAATGGGATGGATAAGTTTTTGGAAAAGAAGAAAAGTGGAACTTTTTGAATTTTCAATATTTCTAAACTTCTGAATTTCTGAATTTTTGAATTTTTGAATTTCCGAATTTCTAAATTTCTGAATTTCTGAATTTCTGAATTTCTGAATTTTTGAATTTCTGAATTTCTGAATTTTCGAATTTTTGAATTTCTGAATTTCTAAATTTCTGAATTTCTGAATTTTCCATATTTCTAAATTTCTAAATTTCTGAATTTCTAAATTTCTGAATTTCTGAAGTTCTGAATTTTAGAATTTCTGAATTTCTGAATTTCTGAATTTCTTAATTTCTGAATTTCTGAATTTCTGAATTTCTGAATTTCTAAATTTCTGAATTTCTGAATTTCTGAAATTCTGAATTTCTGAATTTCTGAATTTTTGAATTTCTGAATTTCTGAATTTCTGAATTTCTGAATTTCTGAATTTCTGAATTTCTGAATTTCTGAATTTCTGATTTTCTGAATTTTTGGATTTTTGAAAATTTCTGAATTTCTAAATGTCTGAATTTCTGAATTTCTGAATTTTTGATATTCTGAATTTTTGGATTTTTGAAAATTTCTAAATTTATGAATTTCTGAATTTCTGAATTTCTGAATTTCTGAATTTTCGAATTTTTGAATTTGTGAATTTCTGAATTTCTGAATTTCTGAATTTCTGAATTTTTGAATTTTTGAATTTCTGAATTTCTAAATTTCTGAATTTCTGAATTTCTGAATTTCTGAATTTCTGAATTTCTGAATTTCTGAATTTCTGAATTTCTAAATTTCTGAATTTCTGAATTTCTGAATTTCTGAATTTCTGAATTTCTGAATATCTGAATTTTTGAATTTCTGAATTTCTGAATTTCTGAATTTCTGAATTTCTAATTTTCTGAATTTTTGGATTTTTGAAAATTTCTGAATTTCTAAATGTCTGAATTTCTGAATTTCTGAATTTCTGATTTTCTGAATTTTTGGATTTTTGAAAATTTCTGAATTTCTAAATGTCTGAATTTCTGAATTTCTGAATTTTTGATTTTCTGAATTTTTGGATTTTTGAAAATTTCTAAATTTCTGAATTTCTGAATTTCTGAATTTCTGAATTTCCGAATTTTTGAATTTTTGAATTTCTGAATTTCTAAATTTCTGAATTTCTGAATTTTTGAATTTTTGAATTTCTGAATTTCTAAATTTCTGAATTTCTGAATTTCTGAATTTCTGAATTTCTGAATTTCTGAATTTCTGAATTTCTGAATTTCTGAATTCCAAAAAATGAATTTTCCAAAAAAAAAAACTGAGTAGATCAAAAAATCTGTGTTCAAAACTAATTGTAAGCGGAGGCGGTAGGCTCTTTATTCTATTTTTTCTTTTGTCCCAAAAAAAATGGAATGACGTGGCAAAGTACAAAAAAGAGCACAAAACTCTTTTCATTTTGGCTCCGCCCACCCGCTGGCTACTGTCAACGAACGGTTGAGTTAGTAGTAGAGGAGGAGAGAATGTTGACAAATCGGATGAGCCGAATTCTTCTTTTTCTTCTTCTTCTTCTTTTTTATTCTTCTTTTTTTCTTCTTTTTCTCAGTAACCAAAAAAAAAAAAAGAAAAAGGACAAAATTACGCAACAAGTGCAAAATTCATTCTGGAGAAAATTCCAAAAAAAAATCTAGAAACTTCAGAAAAAAGGGACATTTGGGGAGCATATTTTCAAAATTTACAAAATTAAAAAAAATTAAGGTTTTGTCAAATTTTTGAAAATCCAATTAACAAACGCATCGGTTGGGGTTCATTTAGGCTTTAATGTCTTTGAGTCAATGTATCTTGGTTCTTGTGAAAGATATCAAAAAACGTATAAGAGCAAAAATGTTTACCATATGACCATCAACATTTCATTAGTTGACCCTTTTTTGATATCTCTAACAGGAAACGAGATAATTAGGGCCAAAGGGAGGATCTTTTTAATTAGTTTCACAGATTTCAAAAAAGGAAATTCAAGTGTTATTTGAACGTGATGGAAAACTTCAGATAATTGTCCAAAAACTTCAAATTCTCCGCCTAAACATCGGCGTGAATTAGAAACCCATGATGCCCCATTGACCTCGGGTAGATTACTATAAAGGATGAGGGAAATTAAGGAAAGAATCAGTACTCACCTTCTCTGGGCTCCAGAGAAGGTGACCCGGGGATCCTGGGTCCTGGATCCGGGTGACCTAGATCCGGGTGGTCTGGATCCGGTTGATCTGGCTCCGGGTGACCTAGCTCCGGGTGACCTAGATCCGGGTGACCTGGACCCGGTGACCTGGATCCGGGTGACCTGGATCCGGGTGACCTGGATCCGGGTGACCTGGATCCGGGTGACCTGGATCCGGGTGACCCGGACCAAGACCTGGGTCCCTGGGTCCTTGGTAAAATTCAAGATAGTTTTTTTTTACAATTCCTGGAACTGAAATCAGACAATTCATGCAGTGCAATGATCCACGAAAAACAGGATCAATCGGCTTCAGATGGTTCAGACTGAAAATAAGAAGACAATAAGATATTGAACATACTATTCCTTATTGAAACTGGATTAAATATATGGTGATCGGTCGTCGGATTTTCGTAATTCCGAATTATGTTCCGATCATCCCTGCCAGATCCGTTTTCAAAAATCGGGATAGTTGGACTTTGTCCCCAAGCTCGTCTTCGACTGGCATCATCTGCCCGTTGGTACCATCACAGGTAAAATGCGAACGGATCCGTTTCGGTGTCCACTAGGTTTTCTATCCGTAACGGGTCCGTTACGGGCAGTTTCGCGAATCTGAGTTCGTCAACGGATCCGTTTTTTCAACATTCGCATCGGACAGGATACGGAGTTCGCAAACGGACAGAATACGGGTTTACTTGCATAAAGGAAGAGTCGATAAATGGAAGAGTCGCGCGCTCAGAAAAACGGATCCGTTACGGATGGCCGAACACTGGGGGACTAACTTCTGCGAAGAAATCTTGAAACTCTTCCACCTTCTTTTCGAAGTATTTATTCCTATTTTCTTCGTTTTTCTATTCGTTTTCCATATTTAATTGCTTCCAAAATGCCGAAAACTATTTTCAAAGATTTTAGAAGAAGAAGGAAACTCAAAAATGTGAAAGGTAAGTGAAAATATATACCATTTTCAGGGAAATAACTCTTTCAGCGAATTCGACAACTAATTATTATCGGCAAGAATCAGCTTACGGTCGAAATACAGGGTGGCTGAAAAGTATTGAGACACTTGTTTTTTGTTGTATTTTCAAAAATGGAGTTTCAACAAAAGAACCAGATTTATTTTTTCAACAAATGATAGTAATAGAAAAGATATCAGAGGAGATATTCGAAGTTTGAGCCTTCGGCCTTGATGCACGCCTTCAAACGAGCTGGAACAGAAGCGACGGTGCGCCGGAGGTAGTCATCGTCAAGATCATCCCATGCTTTGAGCAAAGCGGCCTTCAGTGAATCCACATTTGGGTGCGATCGAGCCATCACCTTTTCCTCCAAATATCCCCAAACGGAAAAGTCGAGTGGATTCAGATCGGGCGAGGAAGCGGGCCACATGTCCTTGCCCCAGTAGCCAGGGAAATGAGCGTCGAGAACAACTTTCGTGGATTTCGAGCCATGGGACGGGGCCCAATCTTGTTGAAGAATGAAGGGTTGCTGGCCAAAGTGGCTAGTGACCCACGGACGTAAAACAACCATCAACACCAACTTTTGGTACACATCCGAGTTGATTTTCACATTTCTATCAATGAAAACCAATGGGACTTTACCTTCCGACGTCAATCCAGCCCACACCATCACTGACTTTGGAAAAAGTCTCTTGTAGGCCAGACGACGTTTTGGGGACTTTCTTCGTCCTTTGACAACAATTGCCGAGCATTCTGTCGGTTCGGAAGCGGCTCAACCGTAAAAATTTTCTCATCAGTCCAAATGACTTCAGAGAGGCGGCGCACCTTGAGTGCGTCGAGCAACTTTTTCGCTTTTTCGAGCCGATTCTTCTTGGACTGTTCTGTGAGGTATTGGCCACGAAGGAGCCGATAACTGTTCAGACCCAAGTCCTTTTTCACAATGGATTGAACCGATTGTCTTGAGATTCCGAGCGATGAAGCCATTTGGTTCATGCTGACCGCATCATTTCGTGTGATTCTCTTCTTGATGATGCCACGAGTCCGGCGAGTGTTGACAGTACGAGGTCTTCCGCTTTTCTTAAGCTCCAACACATGTCCTCGATCTTTCAATTGTTGCACAACTCGATAGACAGTTGCTCTCGGAAGAAGAAGTCTTCGAGCGATGTCACCGGTGGAGATGCCGTCGTTGAACAGCTTGGCAATGGTTTGGCGATGAGGAGAAGCTCGCATAACTTCGTGAAGAGATAAAGTGATGGGAAATGGCTCTAATGTCGGCTAATATACGCTCCCTATTTTCGAAATAATACGAAACTTTTCGAAAATACGACTTGGCACGGTGCCAAGAGCCATCATAACAAGTGTCTCAATACTTTTCAGCCACCCTGTAGAGAAAACTCAGATTTTTGGGATGAAGAAAGTACTAGGAGAGACAAACAAGACAAAATCGGATCTGTTTTCCTCTACTGTTCCGAACATAAGGAGTTTATTGAGCCAAGTTCAATTGCCATCTAATATGGGAAACATTCACAAATTGAGGAACGGTACTGATAAGATTTCCGTAGGTGTCGCTGTGCTAAACATTGACATAAAGAAATAATATTTCAGTATTTTCAATTGGTTCTTGGCTTATGTGCAATATGTACCGATTGCTGGTCACCCGAAGCACGTCTTGTAATTGTATCTTTATCTTTAATCACAAATCGAATGTATACAATTGGAACTACTGACTCGGAGTTCGACGAAATTCTCACTGATTGCTGTCGATGGTTTCTGAGGAAAGCCAGTATTTCCTACTTTTCTTGCAAAGCACATGTAAAGATATAAAAATGGAATGGATATTAACGAGGCTTTTTTTCAGGAATTGTTATTCCATCTACCGTATGTCAGTAGAACTTTTGGAAACACCGCACCGCTGTCAACATTCTCTTTTGAAGCTTCCTATCAGTACATTTTGAAAGGATTCAGTACAAAAATAACTCGTGGTTTCTGTGAAACAGTTTGCTCTAGGTTTGCCGAAAATACCTGCTATTAATGAATATAAAATTTTGCAGAGTTTTGATAGCAAATTCTGTCAAAAGAGAGATGAAAAAAAGAAGTGAGAACAATCCAGGACCACGACTCCGTAAATTCTTCTCATATACTTCCGGATACATCAGTGTGTCTTCAAGCTGCAGAAATCTAGTCACATCGTTGAAAGAAGATGAACCATATCTAACGGAATCAATGGTTATTCATCTCAATGAGGGAACTATATATAGTTCGATCTCGTTACCATTTGGAACATTGCAATCTCGATATTATTCTAAAGAGACAACGAATGATGTCATCTTTACACGCGACAATATTGGAAGGATGAAACCTTACAACCGCAAGTAAGTTACTTACGTTTTCCTCTTTATTCTTTTCTCGGCACTGATCAATTCAGTTGATAAAAATGTTCTCTTCAAACAGTTCATGTCCAGATTTTGTGTGGTTCTTCTAAACATATATTATTTTTAGAATTCGTATGTGACGGTTTCGGACAAGAGTTCACTGAAGATCTTGAAGCTTCATGCACATGTGCTGCTCGTGAAGTACTAATCAACTTAATGTAAGTTGTATTCACATACGAACGTAATAATCGTAATAATCGTAGTGATCGAATTCGCAAAGAACTGAAGAAACTGAATTACGATACTACCACTATTCTCCACCAGCTGAACCATGTAATTGCACAGGAAGCAGATGACATTGACAGGTGATCCATAATATGTTTATCCAAAGAAATTAATTTTCGTTCAGATCTCTTCTCGATTCAACCGGGCCACCAATTCAACGTCTTCTCTGCCTTTCTTAAATACATTTCGAAAGCTTTTTCTCTTTCTTTTCCTTGTAAAACGGTTACCATAACCGTTTAGTTCATTAACTTGTTCTTGTTTCGTTTTGTTATAATAAATAACTTCGTTGTCGTCAAATGCAGTAACAGAAAAAAAAACAAAAAAAGTACAGAAAAGGGAGCTTCCTAAACACATTCGCAACGGATCCGCAACGGATACATCAACTTTTCTGGACTATCCGTTACGGATTCGCGTACGGTCCGTATACGATTCCTATTTCATCCGCGCGCGAATGGCGGAGAATCCGTAACGGATTGTTCGCGAATCACCTGTGATATGGCGCAACTCCCTTTGCATAATTTTGGCATAATGCGTAATTTATGCAATTCCTGGCATCATCTGCTCACTTGCCTCATGGCGCAATACCCTCCAGGCACATTTGGCCTAACATCTGTCTCAGATGACGTCAGCGAGGTCCAGGGCATTTTGAATAGGGCAGAAATGACGCAAGAGTCTCCGCCCACTTTTCCTGCCCTTCCCATCTTCTCTAGCGACAGTCTTCATTCATATCTACTCCCTCCCAATAGACCTAATCTGATTTAGTGGTCCTCTTAAAGTTTTGATTTTTTCTGGAATGTGTTTTTTTTTTGCTTTATGGAATAAAATGAATAGGAGGTATGTACTTAAAAATTAGGGTTAGTCGAAATAGTACAGTAGTCCATTTTTTTTCTTTGTCAACTTTGAGCTTAATTATCTAAATTCCTGTGAGAGGTATCAAAACTTTGTTAACTGACAAAAGTCTAGTGCGTCCGATATCGCCTCAGACCAAGATCCGGATCTGCGAATGCTCCAACCTGCGAAAGCTCCACAACCTTTGATTCGAGTACTGGAAACAACTCCAGCTGCATATCAAAGACGCCGCAGAACTGCCGAGGAAGCTCCTGAAGCACCATCGTCAGGAGATTATCGCTACTCAATTCTGGTGTACTATAATAGGTTGGACTTTTTGGAGTTTTAAATTTTGAAAATTACATTTTTAGACGATTTGGTTGGAGATGCGTTCTCAATCAAAGAATGAATTGAATTCTTCAACAAGTATGCCGAAATTGCCACTGGTTTAGCCAGAATAACATCGGAAACTCTAGTCATGGGACTGGAAAAAAAATAGTGTTAAAAGATCTGGATGATTTACCCAATCGGACGACTCTTTGAGCTATTCAGAATGATCCAAGCGACTGGAGGAGACTTGGAAAATACTCGATATTGGCTAAATTTGGATCACCCTGGATACCTGGAGGCAGATGGATTTTGGATAATGCACAAAACATACAAAATGGCCAATGGACATACTCTTGATTGCCAAACACTCCCAATCTAGAAAAGAGCTTGGAATTACTTTCAATGAGGATATTCAAGAAGGAACCTTATTTGATAATGGTAATATCGACCAAGTTTAATGTTTTCATGCCCTTCTTTTTCAGAAAAAAAATTCGGTATCAAAACCCCAAAACGTCAACGAAGAGCGTCATTGTCTTCCAAAAGCCTTAATCCTGGCAAAAATCTGGCCGTACTAAGTTCTTCAATTATGATGTACTCTGCTTCGAGCGTGCCGAAGAAGGCGGTTCCAATATCGATACCGACGGCACACCACACATGTGGTCTTCTGGGAATTTTCAAAAAACATGTGTCTTTTTTAAATATTTCTTTCTGTATTTTTATTTGTATTTATTTTCTTAATACATTTATTCTCTGTATATGTCTATTGCTAAACATCTCTGATACTAAACAAAACAAAAGTACCTAGAACTTGTTAGTTTGATCTGGAAATTTCAGAGAATGTACAGTAAACCTAGATCTTCATTTTTGTAGTTGACAACTTTTTTGGAAAACTTAAGCCTGAGGAGATAAGCCACCTGGGAGAAGCGTGCACTAACTGCACTAGTGGCGGCGGCACCTAGAGGTACTCAAACTTCTAGGCGGCGTATCTCAACAGAGCGCATTTGCACAAAAAAGTTGTCAACTACAAAAATGAAGTTCTAGTTTTGTTTAATGTACTGTTGAAGTTTCAAAACAAAATTTTGAGCGCGAAGTACTTTTGTAGGCACTTAAACCGGTCTGTTTTTAATTGGAACAGGCGGACGAGGCGGGCGCTTGAGCGTCCAGCTTAAAAAACGGTCTAATTAAGAATCGGTTAATCCGTTTGTTCTGAAACTTTCAGATAATACTAAACACAAATAGTGCTTCAAGTTTGTAGTTGACAACTTTTTCGTACAACGGCGCTCGAAGGAGATATGCGACGTGGAAGAGCTCATTTGACTTCCCCTTGCGGGCGCTGAGTACCCCTTCTTCCATGTGACATATCTCTTCAGAGCCTAATTTTCCAAATAAGCTGTCAACTAGAAAATCGAAGCTCTATGTTTGTTTAATATACTTTGAAGTTTTCAGAAAAATCCCCCCTTCTTGTAGGGCATCAAAGACGAATTGTCGACCAGCCACGCTACCATATACTTGCCATTGAGCTCTTGATTATCTCAATTTCGGTAAAAGATAACAAAATTGTGTTGATTAAGAAAACGTTGGTGATAATGTGACAAACATTTTATCAGTTGACAGATTTTTTTTATATCTTTTATAGGAGCCGAGATAATTGGGCTCAAAGTTCGCGGTTAAAGAAAAAAAGTGGGGCTAAACTTTCGAATCTTTAAAGGTGGGGGGACAGGAGATTTTTCGTAGTTTTTTTTGTAGCTAGAGTATGCATTCTACCGTCACGGTGTACAACGCTTAATGTCACTCTGCGTACAGCTGTCGTCCTCGCCTTTATGTATGCAATCGGGCGTGCGCTTTCTCTTTGGCCGCGTGGCTCAGTCGGCAGCGGCGCCGCACCCTCAATCATCGCCCTCACAAGTTCAACTCCTCGAGGGGCATCTTTGAACGGAATCTCGAGAACATTATTTTTTCATGTCCCCCCACCTTTAAGGTAGTTTTTTCAAAGGTAGTATTTTCATAACAAAAAACACACAGTTCATATAGAGCCTTTCTTTTTATCCTTTGTTGCTCGAGAAGTATTTTTTTTTGTCATTTTTGTGGATTACGGTACCTTTTTTGTCTCTGAAAAACTGTGTTTTTAACATCACAATTGTTAAGTAAGTACCATAGAAATTAGGGCAACAACGAATAATTGAAATAACCCTTCCGGCACGGGGTTGCAACAGGGTACATGCATTCAAATTTGCGCCAGTTCTCTTGGGCGCGTTGCGCCGCGCGACGCGGTCGCTGCGTAGCCACAAGGTGAGAGTTCTTCTAAGAAATAAATGATGACGCGTGGTGTCAACCCCTTGAGTGCGACGAAGCGCGTTTGCTGGATGTTACCGGTCGCAACCTCGTCCCTTCCTTTTAGCAACGATAATCCGATATCCCGTTTTTCGCAACGACACTCCGCCATTCCGCTCTGCTCGCGGGAAAAATGGCATTTGAATAGGGGTCATTGATTGCACAAAGGGGGATAATTAGGTGTGTCACTGTGTGTCAATATTTGTTCATGGTTGGTTTTTGAATTGTTTAACTCATTTTATATAGAAAATTTATTCCGAAATTTGAGAAAATGTTGGTCATTTTCAGACGAGTTATAAACTTTGAGATTTCAAACCTTTTACTTGTCTTACTGTATATTAATGTATATGACTTCAATTTTCCTTGTTATCATGATTCATATTATGGTGATTGCTTTACAATTTTCATTAAAAAACCATTTTTCAGAGAAAACGAATGGTCCTCCAGAAACAAATACTGGATGAAAAGACTCCGCAGCAACTGTAAGTGTTTTTCATCTTTTAAAAAGAAGTCGCACACTTTTGGAACGATTAAAAAAAATGAGCTTCATTATCTTGGTTCCTATGAAAGATATCAAAAATTGGTCAACTAGAAAAATGGTTGTGATGCTATGATGAGCATTTTATCAGTTGACAGATGTTTGATATCTTTTGAAGGAAGCTAGATAATCGAGCTGAAAGTTGACAAAACTTTCAGAATCAAGCTATCCCAAAAATCTCCAAACGACGCGTCTATCGTTCGACGATACGCGAGAGGCAAGAACACTCACATCAAGCTGAAAATATCAAAAGATGTCGAAATGACAGTACACCTCGGAGAATGGAAGCTCACACTTCAAATGAATAAAAAGCCAGTGTTTAGTATAGAAGACGACGGCGACAGCAGAAAAACCAAAAATCAAGCCAAGAAATTCCTGAAGCCCAATCTGGAAAACTGGGAATTCAGTTCTCCTGACCAAAATTCTTCCACGGCCACTGCCAGAGTCTCGTTTGCCAGTCAACTTGAAACCATTGCAACGTTCCATTTGGAGCTTCTTGCGAGAACATTTGGAGTCAAAACCATTGATTTTGAGTGCAATCTAGACTACTTGGAAACCGACAACACCAATCACCAAATGGCTTCAAATCTCAGCATGTTCATCATCACAAAGCTTGGCGTACGGTACCGAAAATTTGTCTGGCCATCATTTCCCATATTCTACAAAGTATTGAAACACTTGGTCAAAAATAACACGGAATTCCATGTGACTGTGGCCAAGTTGAATGGTGTCCAACTTGGAAAACTGATTGCCACGTGGCAGAGATCCGGAAGTGCTAAGGAGATAAGACTGGAAGGGATTCGCGGAACTATTGGTGACGTTTTGAAGTGTATTGATGTGTAAGTCACGCTAAAAGATTTGCATCTAGAGAAAGTGCTCTCTGTTGAATTTGTTGAGTCACTACTCTGTCACATTGATAATGGGAAACCTTGAGTGCCTACTAAAGTATCTAGAACTTAGAATTTTGTTCTGAAAATTTCAGGGTATATTAAACGAAACTAGAGCTTCATTTTTGTAGTTGACAACTTTTTTGTGCAAATGCGCTCTATTGAGATACGCGTGTGAGTACCTCTAGGTGCCGCCGCCACTACTGCAGTTAGTGTCCTCTCCCACGTGGCATATCTCCTCAGGCTTAAATTTTACAGAAAAGTGGAAAACTACAAAAATGAAGCTCTAGCTTTCTTTAGTATATTTTGGAATTTTCAAAACAAACGGATTGACCTATTCTTAATTAGACTGTTTTTTTAGCTGGACGCTCAAGCCCCTCCTGTTCCAATTAAAAACGGACTGGGTTAAGTGCCTACAAAAGTACCTAGAACTTAGAATTTTGTTTTGAAACTTCAACAGTACATTAAACAAAATTAGAACTTCATTTTTGTAGTTGACAACTTTTTTGTGCAAATGCGCTCTGTTGAGATACGCCGCCTAGAAGTTTGAGTACCTCTAGGTGCCGCCGCCACTAGTGCAGTTAGTGCACGCTTCTCCCAGGTGGCTTATCTCCTCAGGCTTAAATTTTACAGAAAAGTGGACAACTAAAAAAATGAAGCTCTAGGTTTACTGTACATTTTCTGAAGTTTCCAGATCAAACTAACAAGTTCTATGTATCTTTTCAGCGGCTTAAAGACCCAATACTCTTGTCCAACTCTACAGTAATCCATATCAATCAATTTCAGAGCGGAATATCAGAATGGAATCGTCGAAATCGAGAGATTCGACGGCGTCAAAGCGATTCTAAAATTGGACGGCGGAAAATTCTCTCTACAGGTTCACACCTAGGAAAATCAATAATTCCAAAAATCTCAAAAATCCATTTTACCTATTTTTCTAGTGATGTTTATACTCATCTTGTAGCTCTTAACCTCCCAAATTCAGAATTTTGCTTTTCCAATTCTTTTGATCAACTTATGATCCAAAAAATCGATAATTCTGAAAAGTCCAGAAATTAAAATTTTTCGGGTTGCCAGATCTGAAGTAAAAATTTCGATTTTTTCTCTTTCTTCCAATTTTTAATATTTTTTAAATAAGACATTTTTTTTTCTCATCAAGTGTTCATTGGTTCATCTACTAATTATTTTGGGGACAAAATAAATCCAAAAGGGGGCGGAGTCTACTAAAAACACCTTAATTTAAGGGAACATTTCTTTGGAGGGGGGAAGGGGGGGGGGGGTATAGCACAAAACACAGCCAACTATCAGCAAATGCGCTCTTTTGAGAAAAAGCAATTTTTCAAAAAAAAAAAGAAAAGACACGCATTTGCAATAGAGCGCGTTTGTTGCACTTCAGGCTGGGGGGGGGGGGGGAAATTATGGAAAATCGGGATTATTTAGGTGACACGAAAACCGGTAACCATACTAAAACTGGACAGACTGAAAATTTTGGGGAAATCTGAAAAAAAAAGACGAGTAGAAAAAAAAGCGAGAAAACTGAATAATTTTGGGAAAAGGAAAATAATAATAAAAAAATGGTTTTTTAATCAAATTTTTATCAATAGAAGAGTGCTTTCTATTCGGCGGTGATGATGCGAAGAGTGTTGGTGGCTCCGGCTCCTGGAAAATAAATTTAAAAAAAAAAATTTTTTTTTCTAAGTTTCCAAAATGTTCAAAATTTCCAAAATTTCCAAAAATTCCGTGATTTCATCGAATTTTGAAAAAATTTCAAAAAAAAAATTTTTCTCAAAAATGTTCAAAAATTGAAAATCAATTTTTTCGAGAATTTTTAGGTAAAAATTCCTCAAAAAGTGTGCGGAGCCTAAATTGCCAGGAAATTTTTTGGATTTTTTTTTGAATTTTTTTTGTCAAAAATCAGCTTAAAATCAGTCCAAAACCAGGTTTTTTTTGTTTGTCAACTTTTTTCACAAAAAAGTTTTTTTCAAAAAATCTGTATTTTTCGCAAAAATCAAAAATTGTCAAAAGAAAAATTTTTTAAATTTTTTTTCGGTTAAAAATCAAAATTTCAAAAAAATTTTGAAACAAAAAATTTTTTGGCCCCAAAAAATTGCACCCCTTACCCTGTCTCCATCCAGTGACGACAATCAAAAAGTCGCCGCGATGAATGAATCCACGATCCTTGCCAATCGCGATCGCATGATTGATTCTGTTGTCCACGTCGGTCGGCCAATCGGCGGCACGCTCGGCCGGATAGTGAACCGGGAACACGCCACGGTAGAGATGGAGTTGACGGCAGACGGCAATGTCACGAGAGATCGTCAGAATCGGGACGGCCGGCTTGTATCGAGAGCATTGGATCGCCGAACGTCCGGTGGTGGTTATGAGAAGGATGGCGGACGCGTGGCACGAGGCAGCCGCCGAGGTGGCAGCGATGGCAATCGTATGCGACATATCAGTCGGTTTTGGGGTGTTCAAAAGGAGCTCATCGAACAAACGACGATGGTAGACGGCGGCCTCGGCTTCCTTGCAAATGTAGTGCATGATTTTGAGCGCGTCGATTGGATAGTCTCCTTTCGCAGTCTCTCCAGACAACATTACACAGTCAGCACCATCGAGGACCTGCAAGAATTCCAAGTTTCAAAAAGAAATTGTTCGAATAGATATCAACGACACTTCATGAAGCAAGCATCATTTTCTTAAAATCCGAAACACCATTTCGGGACAACTTAGCGCAGATGATTTAGTTTCAATCACTTGCAACTCTGTGCCCCCCATTCGTGTCGCCGGTGGGGGTCGAACCCACAACCTCTCCCGTCGCGCCGACTGACGGCCGCGCGCGTAGACCACTACACCAAGCGGGTCGGTCAGAGAGAGGGCGTAGAGTGTTCTAATAAACAGAGGGGCGCGCCGGCAGGCAATGGAGGTCGATTCTATGCCAGAAAACACACTTTTAGGTCACAAAGCACAATTACTAGGGTAAAAAACCCCAAGGAACCCAATTCTGGTGTCTAAAGCCTTCCAAAATAAAAACTTACCGCATTAGCGACATCGGATCCTTCGGCACGTGTTGGACGTGGCTTGTGGACCATCGATTCGAGCATTTGGGTGGCGCAGATGACTGGCTTTCCGGCACGGTTGCACTTGGAGATGAGCATCTGGAAAATTAATTTTTCGGAAGTTTTGAATTTCGTAAATTCTGGAATTTCTAATTTTTCGAAATTTTGGAAAATTCCTAATTCCCAAAATTTCCGAATCTCCGAAATTTTGAATTTTCTTAAATTTCAAAATTTCAGAATTTTTGAATTTCTCAATTTTTCGAAATTTCCAAACCTTTGAAATCCCCAAATTTTTAAAATAGGCCCATATGGCTAATTTTCGTCCCGTTTCAGACAATTTTCGGGCTATTTTAGGCCTATTTTTAAGCCTAATTTCGAGCCTATTTTAGGCTTATTTTTGAGGCTGTCTTAAGCCTTTTTAAGCCTGCTTTAAGCCAATTTAAAGCTTACTTTTCGGCCTATTTTAGGCCTATTTTAAGCCTATTCTCAAGCCTATTTTTAGGCCTAATTGAACACTATTTTAGAGCCTATTTTCAGCCTATTTTAGGTAGGCACCACAACAAAATTTTCAAAATAGACTTTTCCCAGTTTTTATTGTTGGATTGTATTCTCCTACTTTATAGAAGTCCATTCCCAAAATTTCAGGGAAAAATCTTCATTCAATCCCGAGTTACAGCCCCTTTTATACCAGACCTCAATGTACTGAATTTCTCCTCATTTTTTTGCGGTGCGCAGAAAAGTGGGCGGGGCTTAGCTGCGGCGCGGTTTCATTGTGACGCTATTCCGAGCGCTGTTTTTTCATCAAAATCGCATCATGGTTTGTCGGAAAAGCAGTTTTTAGGGTAAAAAAACGAAAAGAATAAGTTTATAACATTGAAAAAAGGAAAAAACCATTGAAAAAAGGAAAAAAAAACAAAAAACCCCATGGGAGATGCGAACTTCGGTCTTCAGATCGGTGCGCGCGCCCACTAACCAGTCTGTCACCGCTGCACTTCCCTTGGAAGCAATAGATGAGAGTGAGGAAAGGACGACTTTTCATTGCCTGCCGTCTCCTTCCGGTGTTGCCTCTTTCCTATTTTTTACAAGTTGTTCCATGATAGATAAGGAAACAGACGTATAACACATTAAGGGCGTCGATAGAATTTTTTAATTATAATTGCTCTTAGTGGCAAATTTTGCGTAGAATCTTATGGTGAAAAGAAAATCGGTGGCGCTCACCTGTGTCACCTTCAAAACTTCCAAAAACTGAAAATTTTGAAAGTTTGGAATTTTCGGATGAGTATCAAAACTACTTAGAGGTATCCAATCTTTCTGAAAATTGGCAGAAGTATACACAAGACTTAGTTTTACCATAATATGCAAAAAAAAAATTGGGGTCATCGCTGAAATTTTTTATTTATTTTAGCTGGAACTTTGGCTGAAAATTGTGAAACAAGGGCGTCGTTAGAATTTTGATTTTATTTCAAAATCCAATCCCCCAGTTCAAAAACTATCAGAATCCATTAAAAAATCTAATGGCGCGAACTTCCATCCAACACTTTTAGTCCACTTTGTCAGTCCCACTTCTATTTTTCGAAGTTTTCGAATCAAAATAATAAAGTTATCGAAGAACTGATAATTTCATTGGATTCAGCGTAGTCGATTACATAGGGACAAGTTCTCACCAAAAAAATAATGGGTTTCTAACGCCCGGTACAAGCCTTCAAAGATGGATTTCTGAAAAGGGGAGAAAAATTTGGTCGCCCCGCCCCCTTTCATTGCGGTGCCTAATTTTAGGCTTATTTTTAAGGCTGTCTTAAGCCTTTTTAAGCCTGTTTTAAGCCTATTTTAAACCTAGTTTTCAGCCTATTTTAAGTCAATTTTAAGTCAATTTAAAGCCTATTTTTAAGCCCATTTTCTGGCTATTTTATGCAACTTAGGGCTTATTTTATACCCATTTTTGAGACTAATTCAGGCCTAATTTCCGTCAATTTTTGATTCTATTATAGACGTATATTTTTGGGCCACATTGAAGTCTATTTTTCAGCCTATTTCAGGCCTACTTCTAAGCCTATTTGAAGCCTAATTTAAGTTTTTTTAAAAGCCTATTTTAAGCCTATTTCAAGCCCATTTTCAATCCAAAAAAACCTCACCTTCTGCGCCAAGAAAACCTTCTCCGCTGGAATCTCAATTCCCAAATCACCACGAGCCACCATCACACCGTCCGACTCGGAAATGATCTCGTCCGCGTTGTCGACACCCTCCTGATTCTCAATCTTGGCAATGATCTTAATCTTCTTCCCCTTCTCTCCGAGCACCTTCCGAATCGTGCGGATTCCATCAGCGTTACGGATGAACGACGCAAAAATGATATCGACACCCTGCTCGACACCAAACTTCAAGTCCTTGATATCCTTCTCCGAGACAGCCGGCAAGTCGACAATGGTTCCTGGCAAATTGACACCCTTTCGGCTGCCCAGCATTCCTCCATTCTCTACAGTACACACGACGGCGTCCTCTTGAAGCTCCTCGACGATCAGAGAGATGAGTCCGTCGTCGATATAGACACGGGAGCCCGTTTCCAGCACCTTTGAGATATTCTTATAATCCACAAACAGATTGATGGCGGTTCCCGATTCGGCAAAGTGTTGATCGGTGGTCAGACGGATCGACGCTCCCCTGACGAGCTCAATTTCGGCAGACGCGCCGCCGGCGAGCAGGCCAGTACGGATTTCGGGTCCTTTCGTGTCGAGAGCGATTCCGATCACGCGTTTGTCCGAGAACGAATCGGCAGCCTCGCGGACGTTCGCGATCGTGCCGGCGTGATACTGAAAAATGGATGAAACTTTTGAAAAAAAACATTTTTTTTTGATGATTTTTTTTTAAGTTTCAGAAACAGTTGATTTGGAAAAATAGTTGGAAAAAATTTTTTTTGATTTTTTTTCGAAAATTTCCAAATCTTAAAATTTTGCGGTCACAAGCTCCAAATTTCGCAAAACCGTTCCTCTTATGTCTTTTGTCTCATCAAGACCTTTAAAATGAGCCCAAACACGACTAGGCTCCGCCCACTTTGAAGGAACACGCGACGCACGACCGCGACGCGCCGGAAAAATCAAAATGTTCGGAGCCTAGTCGTGTTTGGGCTCATTTTGAAGCTCTCGACGCTAAGGATGTTAGTTATGAGAAAAAATATAGAATTTTATGGAAAATTTACGAAAAAAACTTTTTGAATTTTTTCGAAAATTTCCAAATTTCCAAATCTTAAAATTTTGAGATTTCAAGTCCAGAATTATCAGAAACAGTTGCTCTGACCGTTTTTAGCTTATTGAGCCCTTCAAAATGGGCCCAAACACGACTAGGCTCTGCCCACTTTGGGCTTCCCCATTGTACACGCGACGCGCCGGAAAAATCATAGTGGGCGGAGCCTAGTCGTGTTTGTGCTCATTTTGAAGGGCTCAATAAGCTAAAAACGGTCAGAGCAACTGTTTCTGATAATTCTGGACTTGAAATCTCAAAATTTTTGATTTGGAGATTTTCGAAAAAAAACTTTTTTTGAACTTTTTTTGAAAATTTCAGGTTACACAGCCCAAATTTCCAGAAACACTTGTTTTGCCCTTTTTTGTTTTAAGAAAACGTTCCAAATGAGCCCAAACACGACTAGGCTCCGCCCACTATGATTTTTCCGGCGCGTCGGGTGTACAGAATTCCACCACAGTG